ACGGCCGGAGCGGGGTGGGGGCTCCGCGCCGCGCTGCCCCCTCCGGGGCTGCCTCGTTACCGGCGCCGGGGCTAACAGTGAGGGTAGGCTGAAGGTGAGGAAATCAGGGTTTCGGTGTGTAGGAAAGGAAGTTCAGCCTAAAACTGCCAACCTAGTTAGCCAACACGAGTTGTCCCTCTAGACTCAAGTGCACCAGTGTGAAGTGCATTGTACTAAGAAATGTTGAGTTTTAAAAATTGGCTTACATGTGGTACAACTATTTCTTATTTATTTTCTGAAAAGCTTCAGGCTGCTATCTGGGGTTAATAAAGAAGTTACAGTTTTACTTATCCATCTTTACATGTATTTCTGTATGTAGCTACATATTTGTATAGAAATGCTCGCTAACAGACTTGTCTTTCCCCACTTACCTCTGATCCACTTCTTGCTTTGGACTAAGGAAAAAGTTGACCTTGACAAAGAGGTTTACAGTAAGATGTGACATGTTGTGTGCACTGTCATTAGAAAATTGATTTTTCTGTAGAGGTGGCATCAGTACCAGTACACTACCAAACCAAGACAAAGAGGGTTCCTTTGGGGTTAAAAGCAGAATAAATTGGTCTTCAAATTATTGCTAATGGTTTGCGTGAATGTACATGAAAGTTAAAAAGTTTACATAGCTGCATGAAATGGCAGAGAATAAGTGTATTTAAACAAACAGCTGTCATTTATTTCACTTGCTGGTTCCACAGTTTGGTTAATGCATCGTTTCAAGAGTTGTCCTTGTCACAACAAATTCAAAAAGACATATGGATCCTTGTTTATTGTCCCTTAATTCAGTCTCTTCCTGTTTGCTAGACCAGTTTCATTTGGTTAATGGATCACCATGGGCAAAACAAAAATGTTGACAGTGAACCCTATTCAGGAACTTTGTCATCGCTGGGTGGCTGCAGATTGCGGCTCAGCCTCCTGCTACCAGAACAATTATAACAGTGTTTCGTTTGGAGCAATGCAGCCATGTGGCTCGTTTGCATTTGTTTCAGAATTGAGAAATGGAAAGCAACATGGTTGTGCTCCAAGACTTTGTTAACCAGTTAAGTAGACATTATGAAATTGGGACAGAATTTTCCTTTTTTCTTTTTCCTAAGTGAAAAGACCTACTAGGTTTCTACTAGGGATGTCTTGGTCATGTCCTTTTAGGAAATATATATATTTTTAATATACTTTCCTTATTTTTTTTACAGTGATACATGCTTTTTGCTGTTTTTTTCATGCTTTTATGCATTTTAATAGAGGTGGAGTACCTGCTCAATTTGCAAAATGTCCTATGCATTTTATGGGCTTTCATAAATTTTAAGCATTGTGTACATCAGCTTTTAGTGCCTGGGCGTGTACAGCTTAGCTTGGCTCCTTCATTGTTCATGCACATGGTTTGTTATTCATGTTACTTGGACTTTTTTATATGATGATAAATTTTACAAATAATAAAAAAGTAAAATATGAAAACAAGCAGTAAAACGAATTTTTATTATAATCTTAAAAATCGTAACTTAATGTCCTTAACGTACAATCAGTGCAAGCATTGCTTAAAATGTAATCTCTCATTTGCTTTGTCAGTGAAATTCTGACTATAAAATCAATTTGCTACATGGGACTTGCTATTTTGGTGATGGATCTCGGTTCCTAGAAATACTTATTTAATTTATGGCATTTAGTCGTTAGTTTATAGTAATGCTGTCATTATATTGATCTTCTTTGAAGACTAATAATTTTCTATTATTTCCCACTATACATCCATTTCCTTACAGACAATAAACGCTAAATAAAGATACTGAATTTTACTACCGTTTTAACTATCGCATAGCTACTCAATCTGAAAGTAAACACATTTATTTCTTCTTAAAGTTTTATGTGTTCTGCCTAACAGTTAAATTTATGATGCTTTAGTTGGACTAGTCACTTTTTTTTTAGTCTGAGTAAAGTTATTTTTGTGTAGGTTTGTGCTTTTTATAAATAAATGAATCCATAAATCCTTCATCTGTTTTGGCAAGGTTTTGCGATGAACCAGGCTGTTAAGAACTAATGGGCTAGATTTGCAGTAATGCTCAGCACTGCTGAAAATCAAGTTCTTAGGTTATTCTGTTGCCTTACCATTTTTTTTCCTCTTTTCTTTTGTTCTCCTGTGCAGCCTCACCTCATGCTTTCTGCCTCTCACTTCTTTGCTTACTCTGTCTTGTTCTAATCCTTAGACTCATTTGAGCTTTTGGTTTCAGAAACTTTTCCACAGGCTCTCTCTTCCTTTTCTGCAGCCTTCCTGTTTATACAGCCTTTCATTCCTAAATTTTTCAAAATCATTATGAATCATATATCTACAGATATTGGGTAAACAACAGATATTGGATAAAACAGCATTTTAATTGTGCTTGTTTTTATACTAAAAGCAATATATTTTCAGTGTCAAGTGTAAACTTGCCTGATCTCCTGATAAATAAGAATATGAAGTCATAATAAAATCAGAGATTATTTGAAGAATTGCATTCTTTCATCTTAACAGAATCAGTGGATGTAAAAAAATCAAGAAAAACATAGTTTTATCACTTTTGAAATTATCATATATTTTAATTGGATGAAAATGGAACAGAAAGACAGATGTGGAAATGTTCTGTTGTTCACAGATCAAGCAGCTAAAATCATTGTGAATTGTCTGGTGTCATCAAGGACAGTTTTTCTGCTATGAGGAAAATGTATTAATTGAGGATTAGACATACCAGTCTGGGTAAAAAATGCACCGACTCCTATAATGTGTTTCTAGCAGAGGAAGATTCCAGGGGAACCAATTTGATTTTAAAACTTTGGAATAATCTTTAAATACATACCCAGACTTAAATGGAACAAGTATTTAGATTTTAAAGGTTTTTCTTAGTTTGTGTGTTTTTTTTTTTTAATATTGTTTCTATTGGTATGTCTGGTCCTTCTGCTGTAGGTCCCCCTGCTCCTTTCTCTGCAGTGAGCTGGGGTAGCAGCAGAGCAGGGTTCGTATTCACACCCTGCTGTTCCCATTTGGAGTAGTCTGTTTAAATCTCTCTTGGAGGGTGATTTGAATTTGGTTCTAACACTGGGAACTGGAGGTTCTGTTCTTTTCTTGCATTCCTGATCTGAGGCATAAACGTCTGGTAAATTTGTGATAAAATCTTTTTTATCCCAGTTCTTTAAAAAAAGTGCAGAAATGCCAATATTTTACAGTTAAATAAAATGATACATTTACAAAGAAAAACTTTAAATAAAATTATGTATAAAATTTAAGAGGAAACTCTGAAGAAAGGAAAACAGATACTGTAAAATCAGAATACTAATAAAACCAAAACTTGATGGCAATAAGAGCTAAAAACAAACAATACTGACACATAATGGTGCATAAATATTGAGCCTATTTCTTTTCTGCACTATGTCTCCCTGAAGGATAGGATGATCAAGGTTTTTATAAGTAACCTGCGGATTTTGTCCCCGAATATGCCCTGGAACAGGCTGCCCAGAGAGGCTGGGGAGTCTCCTTTTCTTTAGATCTTCCAAACTCTCCTGGATGCCACCCTGTGCCCCGTGCTCTGGGGGTTCCTGCTGGGGCAGGGGGTTGGACTAGATGATCTCTAGAGGTCCCTTCCAACCTTAACCATTCTGTGATTCTGTAAATATATTTTTTACAATATCCAAATTTCTTAGCAGCCAGTAACACTGGTGAAATTGCATTAAAAATGTCAAGGAAAATTATTTATCCATACAAAGTATAAAATGATGTATACAAAGTATAAAAAGAAAAGTCCTTAAAGGGCACTGCCTACATAAAAATGCTCCTATCCATTCCTTGCTTGGAAAACCTATTAAAATATATATTTCATAGGGACCAGATGGCTATCTCAGATGTTCATAATGCAATATTGAGCTGTTTTACCTGACAGTTAACAGATTAAAATCTGTCTCATTTCAGTATAAAAGAAAGTCCTTACTTTTTTTTTTTTCCTTTTTTCCCTCTGGTCAGAGATTTTTTGGAGCAGTGTAGGCTGACATGGGCAATAATCTCAGATAACAGACTGCATAGAAGCAACTAAGTTAAAGTAAAACTACAGAAAGGGTTCTCAGCAAAAAAAAAATACAAACACACACATATATTTATAGATATATATAAAGACTTGAATACTTATGAATGGCGGAAAAACGGAAATAGAAATGTAAAACCATAATAGTAACTTCCCAAATGGATGAAAATATCCAGGTTTTAAACATCAGAATTTATCAATGAAATTTTTAATCAATGACTACTAGGAAAAAAAAAAGAGAATGAC